GCACATTAACAAGCAACAATATAGAACACCGTGCACGGGAAGGAATATAGGAGAGGCGCATTTGCACGGATTAGTCACAGCACAAGACGGTCCGTCTTGAAATCAAGCCGGACATTTGCAAAGTCGGCGTAGGAGGGATGTGAGGGAGTGATGCGAAATAGACTGAACAGAGAGTGTTTCTGGAAGTTGTCAAGCTGGACTGTAAAAATGATCCACTATTTAGGGTCTTGGGATCCAGTGGAAATGATGCTTCAACAGTAACTGCACGCAGCTCCGAGGGTGAAAGACTGTAGACGAGACATGCCAGTGAACTCACACGCTTACGGTTCGAGTCCCACCAAAGGAGCTGAGGCGTGATGAGGCGGGGCGGTATTGCTGATGAAGAGCCTGGCCTCCATCAAAATATTGGATGTGGTGTCATCGTCATACTGGGTGATGTAACCGCCGTTTCCGGGCCAGATGGCACGTGTAGAGGGAATAACCACGACTTTGCCGGGTTTACGCGTCATTCTATGAATCACACCACATCACTAATCCGCTATGAGAGACCGTGACGCTCATGAAATCATGTCAATGCCATGAAGCAACTTTAAGTGTCGTCTGGTAGGACATCATACTATTTACGACTGTGTGTTTGCCCTGTAACTTGGGCGTGGTCGTCAGGACCATAGCAACGATCGCCACCACGCCGACCCTCTTCCTTCCTCACTCAGGTGTGTAGGTACGACAAGATAGAAAATAATAAAAAAAGTAAACGGAGCTTGTTGGCTTGGTGATTGGGGGTTCTCGAATCTGTGCCCCCGGGTCCGGTTTGCTCGAAGCGCAACATGTATCCGCGGCTGGGGCACATTCAAATGGCAGCGACGGAGTTGGACCATTATACATTGGAGGCATGTAAGTAATAAAAATCTAATTTTAAGAGAAATTCCCATGTCACTATTGGATGGGCATATTCAAAGGTCACCTACGGCATTGCGTCAAGGAGGCTTCGGAAAGGGTGAACATATACTCGGACATTGCCACGTCTACGCATACAGCGGCATCTAGGCCAATACGCACACGATATCAGAGATATATGAGAGAAATGTTTGTATGTCGTCTGCCGGCAGGAGAAGAGAAAGAGGAAAAAGAGCCTACAGAAAGTCGGGCACAAAGAGACGATCAGGCAACTTTATGCGAGTTCCTCCCACTCAAATGGAACGCGCAAAGACCGTCCCGGTTGACATTTCAGATCGTCTGGGATGAGGATGATCGAAAGCGATACTTTTACGCGCCTTTAATGGCATAGAAATGCATCATCGGATCAGCGATGCCGCGATATGACCAAGGCCTCACAGTGTGCCCCTCCCATCAAAGCAGGCAAAACGAGCCGAATTAACTCGTTTCTAGTGATTGGACCTTTTGTTTGGTACGAAGGAATTGTTGGTCATGACAAATCGCACAGCAATCTATACTGTTGCCTTCCGCCGGGCAATAATCGGCGCAGCATCTTCCTACTTCAAATGGTCCATGCTGAGCCCTCTTCTGTTCTGCCTTAATAGAAAGTGACAAACTTCTCTCTCACACACACGCACACACAAGGTGGCCATCTTAGTTAAACCTAATTGGGTGATCCCAACGATTCGATATGTTGGTTGGCTTCTTCGCATCGTTCTCAACACGCTGGTAGATGAGGTTGATGCGAATATGGTCAAACATTCGTCTGTGGGGTGATCTTGCAATAAACAAAACGTAAGTGCTGTGGCAGCCACCAGTTCGAAGGAAAATGCTTGGCCGGAAGACAAAGGAGGATACCTGTTGCTCCGCACTCGCCAACAGCCATATTCATTCACAACCATACGAAATACAGAATAAGAGGGGAAATATAATGGTTTAATCAGCTCTTATATCACTCTGAACTACCGTATATCCGAGTCTGTGAGCGCATTATTGCCAAGTGTGGATATAAAACCGTCACTAAGTCTGAGCAACTAGAACTTGGCGTGACGTCAGTCCGAGAAGTTGTGTTGTTGTCGAGCAACAGGGATTTGCAATCGTTCAACAAAGATTTGGTCAAGGGACAGACTTCCCTTGTCTCCTTGGCGAGCTGTAGCTTGCTGCTAAGAGCGGTAAAAATCACCGACGATTCAGGCAAAATGTCTGAAGACGTACAAAGTCTGCGGACCGACGTTGAAGATTACCAAAGTGGACAAAGTGCGTTCATCTGGGTCGCCCTGACAACACGAACAAATTGTGTAAACGAGGTCAAACCACTTCTGCGAAAAGAAAGTTGTCAATCAGCCCAGAAGAGACTAAAATTATCCCGAGGCAGCCTTGAGCCTGGAAGCTTAGAAGAACCTTTTAGCGATAGTTGCTCGGATCAAGATTCAAAGTTGTGCAGATTGTTGTGACTAAGGCGGGAAAAAATTTTACATTCTGAAAAAGAGAAACAAATTGTTATGAAGCAATTGATGTAGGAAGATGCCACGACTGCTCGTCTCCCACCAAGAGACGAGACTGCGTCCGAAGACTCGGGCCAGGAGCAGTAAGTCACTCAAATTAGACCTAATTCACACGTAGTTCTGCGTTAAAGACACATATCGCAATATTTTGGTGGCAAAAACGGTATGCCATGTTGCATGGGAACGAATATGCGTAATGTGTAAACAGGATAGTATTCCAGAACTGCGAATAAGAATTCCTTGGAATTATACAAGAATCAAAGAACACACACGCGCGCAAATCCACACACTTTTGTGAAAGAGTTACATTTCTCTCAGGCGGAATAATGACGGCACACATGTGAAAAAACAACTGCACACCATACGCATTATGTCCTCGAGAATGTTTGTGAAACCCAGGCAACACAAATAGGAAGAAGTTGGCAGGCATGTAGACAGCCTTCGTGAAGTGGAAAAAGATGAAAAAATGTGAGCCGTCTTTTCGCACTGTTTTTTGATGCATACCCCAGGACATGCACTAGTCGGGAGTGGAAGAGCCCTCCGCAAAGTCCCGGGCGACTCCGAGTCGCGAACCGGACGGCCGTGGCAGTGGCCCACACTGTCCAGCCGCGAACGCACTCTGGCCGAGGGTGGGCATTTTTTTGGCGCACAAACGCCGTGGCAGGCGAGACTAACGAATGCACCGAGCCCATCGAGAGGTGGGCTTGAAAAAGAAGATGGAAAAACCCCGGGGCCCATATCACGTCGCTGCACTCAGTGTGCTTTGTGAACGCCTCGGGCAGGCCAATTCGAGACGTGTCGTTCGGTAGATCATAGCCAGGGCCCCAAACAGCCAGTCAACATTCTGTACCAACATTCGGCCACACGAAAAGTACCGCAAATGGACGAAGGGCCTCCTTCGGAAAATCGCGACGAAAGCCGTCGGTCAAAAACAGACGGAGAGTGGGACGGGGACCAACACCCCTCGAGTGGCCTCAATCGGCCATCTGAGACGGACTCGGAAACAGTTGTGCCATGTACTCCCGATTCTAGCCAGATTAGGTCCAAACGACCCCGAAGCCACAAAGTCGTCGTCAGTCCAAAACCAAGACAATAACTCTGTGATAAGAAATCTGCCTCTAGAACAGCCTTACGACTGAAGAAGACACCGGGAAATGCATTAGGGAATTGGCCGGGCCAGAAACCGACTGCCGATTGGCCACGATCAAAACGTGTTGAGCCGTCCGTCCGTTGCGTCGTGAGAGAAAACACCAAAGCGTGAAACTACTCTTTAAGAAGCCCCACCTCA